ACGGGAGCGCCGCCGCGCTTCCCAAGCGGCGCACTATCCAGTGCACCACTGGGCCGGCCCAAAACTTTTTGTATCTTAACTAAGATAGCTGGATATTGTTTTCATCTGTATAACTAATTAACTTTTTCACTTGTAGGTTAAAAGCTGTGGTTTGATAAGAAGGAAATTTAGGGTCAAAGTTTTATTTCTTAAATTATAAAAGCAGATTTCTTCCACATATTATAAATGATGGATGAGACAGAAGGTGACAAAGGGCTCTGCACTCCAGTTCTCATGGCATGAGGGACAACAGTCATCTATGGCTCGGTTCCCGCTCGCTGGCTGAGCGAGGCGCGGGAGCAACACCGAGGCTTGCGATCCCGTTGCCGGTCCCCGGTCCGGTACGGGGACAACACTGAGGGTTGCGATCCGTTGCCGGACATGGAAAAAAGACAAAAGACAAAAAAAATAAAATAAAATAAAATAAAAGCAGATTTCTTCCACATATTATAAATGATGGATCAGACAGAAGGTGACAAAGGGCTCTGCACTCCAGTTCTCATGGCATGAGGGACAACAGTCATCTATGGCTTCTGGAAGAAACAAACCAGATCTTCAAGTCCACTTCCTTGTCTACAGGGCCACATTCCTAAAACAATGACACTCTCAGGGACTTGTCTCTCCAAAGCAAAGATGAGTGGCGCAGGCAGGAAAAAGCACGTAGATGAAATTGACCAGTGCTACTCTATTTCTGAGATAACTTCTACATCCAGATCCTCTGCCCTAGGCACATTTCCAAATTATCTTAAAAACTTGAAATTCAAACTAAACCTAGTAATTTTAAAAGTGTAGCAAGAATATCTCTTTAGCTATAAAGATAATCTCTTTAGCTATAAAGCTGTCTCTTTAGCTATAAAGATAATGGCTTTTTTCAAACTCTGTCAGTACCCAGATGAGAGATGATACATGCTACTTCTAGCTACAAATGACCTGCATTAAGACAAAAAGAAGCGAGATAATAATTGACTAAAACTAACCCACAATGACCAAAAAGGAGAGCTGTTAGTGTGAGAATAAATCAAAAGAACAGTTTTCTCCATATTAAGAGCCATCAAATAGGTCAGAAGGAGTTAGCCTTTATACTGAGAGCATATATCCAAATCAATAAGACACATCTTCAGAATATTATTCTTATCTAGCTTATGCTTACGCTAAAAGGTGTAAGTTGGGATCCAAGTTTATTTTCCCTGGCTTGTAACCTGCTCTAGATCTTATTTATCACCTGTAAATTTGTCACTGTGGGCTCACACACCTATGGTCAAATTCTTTAGTAAAGCACGCTCCCTATTTCCAGCATGCACTTAGATTCTCAGTTAGTGTCATCTGGACAGACACCTGCCACCAAGTAAGCAATGAACCCCCACCAAAGCTTCAACCATCCTCCCTCCAGACCCCCAAATGGCAGAGCACTAAACTACAACGCCAGTTAGTATGGAGGGAAGCACAGCCCCATCACCATGCACTGCAGGCAGGCTGGTATATTTACTTGTGATGGACATCAGCTGTGATGGTCTCTGGCTTTCCATTTGTAGCACTGCTATGTAGGAATAAATAAGCATTAATGGGAATGGAAACAAATAATAACAATGAAGTGGACTTGCAAAATGTACGTGACTGAATGGTATGTATTTATGGTAAATCATAAATTTGACATAGGAGATCTGAAGGGGTAAAAAAACAAACTCAATGGCCAAAGATGAAGCATGGGGACAATGTGACACACCACAGAGCAAGCATGTTGACAAGACAATGTCTAAAAGTGGCCTTAAACTGGGACACAGAAGCTACCACTGCTCCTTCATGTAAAAACAGTTATGACCCAGTAAGTTCCAATGCCCAATGTTCTAACATTTACTGAGGCATTCTTGTAGCCGGCCATGTTATCCCTTAAGAATATAGATTAAATGGCAGAATGCTTTTTATGTAAATACAGAAACATCAGATGATTTAAAAGGGGAAATTCTAGTTGCCAATGAAGATAAATTTAAAATTTATAATTTTATAAAATATAAAATTTCGCTTAAAAGTGCTTTATCTCAGGTTTGAATAGCTACAGGTACCTTCTTTATTTACCTCTGACAACCCAAAACATTTCTAAAGTTTGAATATCAGTGAAGGCAACTGGCACCTTCTTGGCACTTCCTCAGTGACCTGAAAGTGCTATGGTGAGAACTGTGGTGGGCCTACATTTCACTGGTAGCCTGTGGGTGGTGGAGCTTTTGGTGTGTCTCACAGATAGCACTTGCAAAGCAATGACCAATTCTCTGTGGCTGAGGGACTTGCCCTGTGGTATAGTGTATCACTGACGGGTTTTAACCATATGGCATGCGAAAAGAATTATCTTCTGACCATTATTTAGTAGGAGTCATTTCACTGACATGGTGGGGAAGTGTTCAAAAACAAAAGAGATTTCAAAGACACTCCTCTTTAAGAGGAAGTAGAACTATCATTCTCTTTGTAATGGGCAAAGCCGTTGCCTGTTTCACATCAGGAACTGCCCATACATCAACACTTTGCTTTTTAAATAAAATATCTAGGAATACATCACAGAGAGAAAGTCCAAGAGGAAAAGTCCAAGACAGCATTCACACAAAAAAGAAAAGATACTGACTTACCGGGGAATTGCTGGAAGGCGAGAGCCATTTTCATCTATGAAGTGGCCCCCAGCATTGAGGACCCAACAGTGATGAAGGGACATCAAAGCATGCCTTGCAGTAGTAGGGTTGTCCTTCCCATTCTGACTGTCTGCATTCTTTAGTGGAGAAAACTCATCTTCCCGTAATACTTCATACACCACAAACTTCCTAGAATGAAAACAAAGACTTCTTTATTATCAGATAAAAGTACATACATAGCTTCTGACTCCTTTCCACCTTGGTCTTGAATAATAGGCTTTCTTAACCCAATTTCAAATGAATGATTAATAAAATAATACTCATCCCTGAACCAAAGAAACTTGGAATTTTCTTCTCCAGTGCACCTTTCCACCTTGGTCTTGAATAATAGGCTTTCTTAACCCAATTTCAAATGAATGATTAATAATAAAATAATACTCATCCCTGAACCAAAGAAACTTGGAATTTTCTTCTCCAGTGCAAAATGAGAAATCATTTTAATTATAAAATGATTTAATTATAAAAATTATTATAAATAATTTTTACATATGCCAACCCTTAATTATAAAAATAATTCATCTTAAATCAATAAGATTAGAAATCTTAATACACAAAGGTCACATTAGTACTTGTTCTGGCGGGAAATAAAAACATAGCCAAAAAGGATTATGGGAAATGTATATAGGAAGATTAATCTTACTCAGCTAATTTGTGTACTGCATTTTCATTTAGGTCAAAGTCTGAGATGTTATGTCAACATCGGATGAGATCTTTACAGAGAGCTAACCAATCTAAAAATACATTCACTGAAACATTTATTCGTAGGTCAGTAATATATCCTAAACACAAAATGGAGCTTATCCTAACATTTTTAGTCTCTCAGCTAAAATAAATGACTTTAACAACTTTGCAGGAGAGCCAGATAATAAACTAGTTGATGAAAAGAAAGATGTACTCTTAGGCAACTCAGACCATACTCATGGAGTGGTGGTTTTATAGTAGAGAATGATAATGAATCTAGGCTATACTTGCGTGATCAAAATGCCATATCTGAGATCCCTGCTATTAGATGTTTCCTGAAAACATTTTCCTGA